CCACCCTTGTTTTCTTTGTAAGAGTTGCCATGGTCATGGTGTCTCTTCACAGCAATAGAAACCCTGACTAAGACACAGGAACTCAGTCTGTAGACAAGGCTGGCCTTGAACCCAGAGATTCACCTGCCTCTCCTTCCCTAGTGCTGGGATTAAAGGTGTGTGTCACCACACCTGGCTAGCTTGCACCTATTAAGTGCTGACTGTTCATTATCTTTGGGGTAAATCCTCAAAAAGAATTACTGAGTGAATAAATAATAAAATAATAAGAATAAATAATAAAAATGAATGATAAAAATATGATTTGATATTTCCACAATAGGCACATGTATCAAAACAATCACATTGTACTCCATATTATGTAATCATTTGTCAATTTAAAATAAGATTAAAGGCAAAAATTGGGTGAGGGCTTCTTTGAGGTAGAATATCCCCTTGTAGACTGCTATCCTAGAACCCATCATGTAATCCAGGCTGACCTTGAACTCCTGGTGATTCTCCTGCCTCGAATTGCAAGGTTACAGGCATGTAACCTGTTTAGCTAAGACTAAACATTTTCAAGTGAAAACAAAAAAAATAAGTGTGTGGGGGATAGGGGAGATAGGAGATATACTCAGACACCCTAGAAAAGAAAATAAGGAAAGATACATAGTTTAGAGGTCTCAAAAGCAGCCCTTAAGATGACTAGCAGAATAGTTGTGTCCCTAGGGGAACAAGAAAGCTAAGTAAAGCATGGGAGAAATCTGTTATGTTTAAGGAAATGAGAAAGCAGGGGTAAATAGTATCCCCAGAGTTCTAGCAAAAGAGCTACATCTTTCAGTCCCACCAGCACCGACGCAGAGACAGACTGCCTTCAGAAGATGAAGAGTGAGACAACAGAAGGAGAGAATGCTTTAGGAAGCTGGAAAACCAAAGGTTGAGCATTAGGAGTAGAAGTGAAATGATGGAAGGAAGAAAAAGAGCCAGAGTAGGACTTGGGAGGTAGGGCAGGACAATGAGGAATTCAAAGCCAGCATCAGTGCATAGGAAGTCTGAGGCTAGCTTGGGCTATAGGATACACTTTCTCTAAGAACAACAGCAAAGTTGCTGAAACAGCTTGAACCCTATATTGCCATCCTGGCAGAAGCTTGGACGTTGATCATCTGAAGATGTTAAAACAGGCTTTCTGGGGTGAGATTACACAGTTGGGACATACCAAAATACAGGATCAAATGAATAGAGTTGTGCATACTGAGGCTCTAGCCCGATTCCCAGCCGCTCCTAGGAAGCTGACATCGAGGTCTCGTTTTCATAGCAAAAAGATTACAAAGGTCATTTCTGGAGAATCACTGTAGCCTATGATGACCTCATTACTAACAGGAGGCTTCCTTATCTTTCTGCCCATCCAGAAGACTAGCCTCCATCTCAAAATAGCCCCTCCCCTTCCCTACTCCCAAGGGACAGACAGGAAAGACCCCCTAGCCATCTCAGCAAAAGTACTCAATTGAAACACAAAATCAGGGTACCGAGAGAGAGAGAGAGAGAGAGAGAGAGAGAGAGAGAGAGAGAGAGAGAGAGAAAAGGAAGGGATTTAAGAACTAACTTAGTAACTTTTTCAGAATTTAGAAAAACAAATAGACTCAACTCATCAAGTAACCAGCAGATATTAAAACACACATGCATTCCAATGGATGAGAGTGTGAAATTTTTCACAACAGGGGGATCACAGAGCAGACCACAAAAGCTTTTAGTGGGGAAAAGAGAACTACTCAAAGGGTCAGGTGCCAAGGACTGGGCTCCTCAACAGCAGTGCTGGGATTAAGAAGATTAAAGAGTTTGGCAGAGGGACATCTCCAAAATACAAAGAGTGGGGGTTTTTAGCCTGGCAAAATCGCTAATTACAGGAGAGAAGAGACATGCAAAACTACATTCCAACTAACCTTTCCCAGGAAGCTTCTAGGGGCAGGGATCCACTGCTGTAGTTTAGATATGAAATAGCCCCGAATAACTAATGCATGGAAGGCTTGGTCCCCAAAATAATGATATAGGTTGGGCTTTGAACCCCCAAACCAATGGATTAACTCATGGATGAATTTATACTTGAATGGGCTACTGAGAGGTGGTGGAAAGTATGAGAGGTGGGGCCTGACTTGGAGGAAGTAGAACTTGAGAGGAATACTTCTTAAGTCTCTCCCTCTCTCATCCCTTCAACTTCATCCCCTCCTCTTCTCCCCCTCCCCCAAGGAGACGAACAACTCTCTTGTACCACAAAGTGTCAGCCTTGTCTTGGGCCCAAAGCAAAGGATCCACATATCATAGACAGAAACCTCCACAAATAAGAGTCAGGCACCAGGGGAAAGTCCTCGTATTTACTAAAGAACAACAAGAATATCTGCACAAAAGAGACTTGGCAGGGAATTCAGCCCAATTCTTTCTAAAACAGATATGGCTCTATTTAAAGTACTACTTCAGGGCTGGGGTACAACTCAGTGGTAGAGTGTTCAGTCCCCAAAATACCACCAAAGATACATGCCCACACCTGTAATCCCAGCACTCAGGAGGCTGAGGCAAGAGGATTGCTATAAGTTCAAGGCCAGCCTGAGCTACATAGTGAATTCCACGTCTTGGACGACAACATGAGTCTTTGTTGTTCTTTGCTGTTTATTTTTGTTTTGGTGGGATTGTTTTTGTTTTTGTTTTTGAGACAGGGTTTATCTGCATAGCCTTGGCAGTCCTGGAACTTGCGCTGCAGATCAGGCTGGCCTTGAACTCAGAGATACCCCTTCCTCTGCCTCCCAAGTGCTGGGAATAAAGGTGTGTGTTGCCACAACCCAGATGAACTGTATTCCTTTTTAAGGGCTTAATATAGTAAAAATAAATAAATAAAATTATTTCTAGATAACTCCTATCTCCATATTCTGTTAGATCAATTAGCAAGAAAAGGAGAGTAAACAGCATTCCACACCTAGAATCCAAATGCCTGACTTGAATGGCACTGCAAAAATTCTGTGACACCTCCAGATGATCTTCAAAATTAATTTTTGAGGAACTCATGATACCAATGAGAAAGTCTGACAGCTCTACAAAGTGATACCTTGGGTCAGGAAATATATAACAAAAAAGAAAAAAAAAAAAAAAAACCTCTCTTTTTATTTTGTCCCTCCCCTTACACAAAGACATTTATGTAGCTAAGAATCACATGACTGAAACAATTTCCCTGACTCAGCACATTTTACCTTCCCTTTCTTTCTCCATTTTTATAGCTACAACAAGAAGAAAGAGTAAGAACTGTCAGAGTCCCATTTCTGGCTGCAGGGATGCCAAAGCCCAGTCCCATTTAATACAATCGCCACACAGTTCGAAAACTCTTTGTTGCAACTTTTTTCCAACTTCAACTTAAAAAAACCAGAAGTTCATTTTCACTTTGGAAAGCCAAATTGAAAGTAAACTGTGACCTTCAAGAATCTAATTTGTTCCCAGTGACCCTCTGGAGAACATAAATTGTTGAGACACAGTCACTGGGGGAAACATTTCCAAGTCATGTTTGACATGTAAAGCTACATGAGACTTGACAGGGATCCTTTTTAACAAGCTCAACATGATTTAAAGACATGTGCTTTACCAAAGTTCTCTGGATCCTGTGAACACCTGTAAACAGTTCAGTTCCTTTTACAAAGAACGAACAGTAGGAGCCAAAGGCTTCGTCAGTGTTTTGCACCCCACATTCTCTGAGCAAAAATTCAACATAAATACATGCCCACATAAAACAAATGAATGTTTTCTTGTAATTTATATGCAGACAAAAGGTTTTAGAGATACTAAATTATAAACCACCAAATATAGGCTTCAAGATAAGGATAAACTATGTAGACACAAAAATAATCATTTTGTCAACAAAAAGAAAACTTAAATAGGCTTTTTTGCTGTTTGAGGTGGGGTCTCATGACTTACTCTAGGCTGGTCTCCAAACTGACATTCTCCTGCCTCAGCCTCCCGTATGCTCAGATCATTGGCATGCACCATGACTGGTTTAAGTGAGCTTTGAAACAGTTGTCCTTCATCTGTGCAAAGTCCTCTAGAAAACATATTTATTTAAGATGCATTGCACAGCGTGTCTGAGTGCGGGCCAGCCTACGAATGCCATGGTGTGCTCTCAGGAGCCGGTTCTCTCCCTCCACAGTGTGGGTCCTGGGCATCGAATTCAGATCATCAGGCCTGCTGGCGGACACCTTTACCCACGGAGCCATCGCACCAATCCTAGAAAGCCACTGAGTCACTTCAATGGCCATTAGATTACAATCACTCAGACCTAAATGCTGGACACAGAGCTGCCCATCACTCCACACTGATGCTGCAGTCACAGGAGACTCACTTTCCATCCCTGCCCTGGTTCTCTTATATAATCCTGGATTCGGCTGAGCACAAAGCCTATGTTCTCAATCCCACACACCCAAGCACCTGGCAGATGATTCTCTCCCTGCTTTCAAAGAGTTGTACCCACACATATGCTATTATATCATAAAGATGTGCATGTGTGCAGGTGTGCATGCACACACACACACACACACACACACACAAACACACACACACCCCTGCCACCCTCTAAAATGGAACCCGGAGGCCTGATCCAAATGAGGCCCTGATCACACCACTTAGGGAGGAGGGGGTGTCATTGTTGCATCCTGCCTGTCATTTTCCCACTGAAAAATTTATTTTAACAATTCTTATTTTATTTTACATATAGAGGTGTTTGCCTAAATGTTTATCTGTGCATCCTGTTGGTGAGTTGTCCACAGAGGACAGCATACAATCCCCTGGAACCAGAGTTACAGATGGTTGTGAGGTGCCGTGTGGGTGCTAAGAATCTGACCGGAGTCTTCTGGAAGAGCAGCCAGTGAGCACTCTTAAGTGCTGAGCCACCTCTCAGCCTCCCCAGTGCACATTCTTACATGATGACTGGGCTACTATGACGAATATGCTTGGGTGGAGTGGGTGAGGACAGGGTGATGTTACAGTTAGGATCTAGAATGCCTCTGAAAAGACATCCGTGAGCAAGGCTCAGCCCACCCTGGTGGTGCTTTCTGAAGGTGATGGAATCAGAAGGGGTTGGGGCATAATGTGGACAGGTAGGTACTCTGTGTGTGTGTGTGTGTGTGTGTGCTGTGTGTCTATGTGTCTATGTGTGTCTGTGTATGTGTCTGGTGTGTGTGTGTGTGTGTGTGTGTGTGCTGTTTGTGTATGTCTCTATGTGTGTCTGTGTATGTGTCTTGTGTGTGTGTGTGTGGGTGTGTGTGTGTGTGTGCTGTGTGTCTCTGTGTCTATGTGTGTCTGTGTATGTGTCTGGTGTGTGTGTGTGTGTGTGTGTGTGTGCTGTTTGTGTATGTCTCTATGTGTGTCTGTGTATGTGTCTTGTGTGTGTGTGTGTGGGTGTGTGTGTGTGTGTGCTGTGTGTCTCTGTGTCTATGTGTGTCTGTGTATGTGTCTGGTGTGTGTGTGTGTGTGTGTGTGTGTGCTGTTTGTGTATGTCTCTATGTGTGTCTGTGTATGTGTCTTGTGTGTGTGTGTGTGGGTGTGTGTGTGTGTGTGCTGTGTGTCTCTGTGTCTATGTGTGTCTGTGTATGTGTCTGGTGTGTGTGTGTGTGTGTGTGTGTGTGCTGTTTGTGTATGTCTCTATGTGTGTCTGTGTATGTGTCTTGTGTGTGTGTGTGTGGGTGTGTGTGTGTGTGTGTGCGCGCGCGCGCGCGCGCGCTGGTGCCCATTCATGTGGAAACCAGAGATCCACATCAGATGTCTTCCTCAAGTTGCTCTTGGCCTTATGTTTAGAGACAAGCTCTCCCAGTGAACCTGGCCCTTCCTCATGTGGCCAGAGAGTTCCAGGGATCCTCCTGTCCTCGCCTCCCCAGTGCTGGGATTACAAATGTGTTGTCTCAACCCAGCTCCTACTTGGTGCTGGGGATCCAAACTCAGGCCTTCATGTTCACACAGCAAGCATTCCACTGACAGAGTCAGCTCCCCAGCCCCAGAGGGACACCTTCTGAAGGACATGTTTTCTTCTGGATGCTTCCTTTCTCTCATCCTTATTCCCAGACACCCTGAGGTAAGCAGCTTTACACCATCATGTGCTCTCTGTTCATCACCCCGGGTATCATCACAGGACCAAAGAGGTGGGGCTGTACAATAGTGGGCCGAAACCTCTGAAATCCTGAGTGCAAATAAACCTTTCTTGATTGCTACTTTATTTCCTCAGGTATTTTGTCACAGTGATGGAACACTAATACTCAGGTTTATTGAAGGAAATAGAAGCCCAAAGCAGCTCATACATTAAGTGCTGTCACTTAGCAGGTTTCTAAATTAGACATTTTCTGCATAAAATAAGCCCAAATCATGGGAACACTCCAAATAAAAACTCATCACCAATGTCATCTCAACCTGAGAAGAGGAAAAGTGACATAAAAAATAAACCCCTACCAGAGACATAATCAAAATGCCTTTTTGAGAATATGCTAAATATTTAAGTCTAAGGTCTATACCTTCATAACTGAATTGTCATTTTTTTTTTTTTTTTTAATCCTAGAACCTGGAGGCCAGCCTGGTCTCCACAGCGAGTGCCAGGATACCCTCCAAAGCCACACCGAGAAAACCCGCCTCAAAAAACAAAAACAAAAACAAACAAACAAAAAATCCTAGAACCCCAAAATTACACCAGACCTATCCATCAGGTCTCCAGAAAACTCAACTAGCCAGACATTAAACCCCATATTATGAAAGTTGAGTCAAATAATTAAGTGCAATCCTTCATTCTAGCCTTCAGTTTCTCCATCCCCATAACAGGGTTTCTCTGTGTAGCCCTGGCTGTCCCGAACTCCCTCTGTAGACCAGGCTGGTCTACCTGCCTCTGCCTCCTCAAGTGCTGGGATTAGAGTCCTGGACCACCATGCCCAGCTAAATTTAGACATTTAAATGCACTCAAAAACAAAACAAAATAAAAACCCTACTGGAACAAGGAATAAAACTGGAGCAAAGCAACAGGTGATCTTTACTATTCATTGGCATTTTCATTGTTTTGGCCAGGCACCCATGTAGATAAAAATTAGGTACCAATGCCTGTTTTACAGAGGAGAAAATTCAGCACAGAGATATTGAGTCACTTACACAGGATCATCAGCTAATAAATATCATTCTTAATCACTATTCCCCAATGCCTTTTGCCGTTTTACTTCTCCTTAATCTCCCCAAATTGCAGTGGCTTATGCCACACTAAGAGACAATTTCTAGACAGATAATATACATAAGAATAAATTGAAAAGTTGAGTTATAATAAAGTTATAATATAAAGTTGAGTTATAAAACTACAAGCAATAAAGCAACACACTAATTCACACTTATAAAATGGCTCATGTTTATTCATATCTGGCTCATCCATATGTAAAAAACACCCCTTATCTTTCTTACTTTTTCCTAGTTACACTAGAATATACTATCTCTACCTCAAAAAGAAGCTTTATGAATTCAGTATTCAAAACCAGTAACCCTCCCTCCTGGGATTTTGTTCCAAAAGTCCATCCCTGCCCTGTGGTTGGGTTGAATCACCTCCCCACTCAGAGTTGCTGTTTGAAGTTCCTGGGAAAAGAGAAAATACCCTAGCTCCCAGACTAAAGGGCAAGCCCCGAGGCTAGGTTACTAATGCCGAAACAGAGAGATCCACCAGCTGCACCTCCTACTGTCCAGCAAGACTCCTACTGTTCCTTCTCAGGCCCATATCCTGCTGCTGACTGAGGGGCAACGCCTTTGAGAAACTGCCTATCCCAAGCACAGCTGTCTGGATGCTGAGCTCTCTAAGGTGATTCTATCCTCCAGCCTTGGGCCATCTGCAGACACCATTTTCAAACACCGGGATACACTCACATCACCTAGGTGGCTGTGGGCGGGAAGGAAGCCTGCAGGGTCCAGATCCAAGATTCAGATTCAGTATATCAGAGGTGGGTGGGATCTGGTAGACTACCAACAGATGCAGACACCCTGGTTCCAGGGCCACACAAGGTCATAATCCTCTTAACCAAGCAGTTAGTGGTATTTCTCACCAACAAAAAAATAAGGGGGGGAGGGGCGGGCAGGATTATAACTACTCAGTTAGTAGAGTGCTTGCCTAGCATTCGAGAGGTGCTGGATTTGATCCCTGGCACTTCATAAACTGTGTATGGTGGAATATACCCGTAATTTAGCATTCTAGAGGTGAGGTAAGAGGATCAGAAGTTCAAGGTCATCATGGCTATATTGCAAGTTTGAGGTCAGCCTGGGTTACAGGTAACACTATCTAAAAAAGGGGAGTGAGAGGAGAGAAAGGAGGGGATAGAATGGGTGGGGGGACACACTGGAGATCTAGTTTTATCAATGTTTCTGGCCCTCCACTCATTAACTACCAAGTAAAACCAGAATTCCAGCATTTGAATGTAGTGAGTCTGGGGAGAGAAAAGGGAGGAGAATTTTTTAACCTTAGCACATCACTTAACCAAAAACAAGCCTGAAATTGGATTTGTTCCTGTGACTCCTGTCTTCTGACCCTGACCATGAATGCCTGGCAGAGGAAAAGGGGCCAGGACGGGAAACACTAACAAAGACTCCGTGTTTGGAGGCTAGACTGTCTTCCAGAGCAGTGCAAAGAAGCAGACAAACTTGGTTCCCTCTCTGTAGATTCACAACAGCCTGGTCACACGGGCTACTGATTTGTCCCCGGGGCCATATGTTATTGAGCAAGTGGCACAATAATTTTCAAGATTCAAAGAAAAATGGGAAATACTTCCTAAGCCCTAGCTAAACTCAGATGTTTTTCAGTATCACAGTGAACTGACAAGTTTGGGGAAAATAAACACAAGCTGGGAATAGTGGCATATACCTTTAATCCCAGCACTTGGGAAGTTGAGGCAGGAGGACCGCCAGTAGCTCCAAGCCAGCCAGAGCTACAAGGCACTAAACTGAAGGCTACCCAGGTTATAGAATAAGACCCTGTTTAAAGATACCAAAAATGCCAGGCACAGCAAGCCTGTGATACTAGCACTTGGGAGGCAGAGGCAGGAGGATCAAAAGTTCAACCACTGAAAGTTATTTTGGAGGGAAATGTTCCATTTTGTGTATGAGACTGGAACATCTTGGGAAAGGGAGTCAGTCTCCCACAGGTACCACCGGACACATGCATGCAAATAAAATGTCTAAACTTATTACATAGCTAAGAACTCAGCTCTCCAGACAAGCCAAGTCACACTCGGACAAATTTACATTTCTGTGCCACCATTTTGTCATCACTAAAAATCGGGGGGGGGGGGGGGGGGGGGGAGGGGTTAAGCTACATGAAATGGGCACATAGTAGGTACGCTATCGATATTAGTTACAGATGGTACCTTCCAAACATTAAAATACATTAATGTGGCCGGGCGTTGGTGGTGCACGCATTTAATCCCAGCACTTCGGAGGTAGAGGCAGGCGGATTTCTGTGAGTTCAAGGCCAGCCTGGTCTCCAGAGCGAGTGCCAGGATAGGCTCCAAAGCTACACAGAGAAACCCTGTCTCAAAACACACACACACCAAAAAAAAAAAAAAAAAAAAAAAAAAAAAATAGTACATTAACGTTATTATAATTGGGCTTTGTACTTTGTAAATAATTTATTTAGATTATATATGAAGTACGAATAGGATAGATAGACATCCCTCCCAACCCTTTTACACAGCTTCATCCTTTACCATGGTAACTAGCTCACACACACCCTCATCCCTCTGTACCCAGTTTTTCTGCTAAGCTCTTCTGCACTTAACAGATCTAAGGTTATCAAGAAAACAAGACCCAAAGCTGGAGACAAGAGATAGTTGAAAGCCCTCTGTTTTAAAAAAAAAAAAAAAATCTTCTTTGACTAAAACAAATAAACACGCACACATGTTGACAAAGGAGGCACCCACCAAGGTGAGCAAACTGGAGAAAGATGTCTAATTGCCACTCTGCGGAAGGGAGAAGGAGAATGTTTATTTGCTTTTTCCCGTTAGTCCTTTTGTTGTTGTTGTTTGTTTTGTTTTTTGACCCAGTACCTTATGAAAGTTTGGCAAGCACCCTCCCACTCAGAGATAGCCCCGGCTCAGTTTGTCCCCTTTTGTGAGGAAAAAGGAGAAAGATAACCGGAAAAATGAAGCAACATTAGAACCTGTTCATCCTACAGGCACAGTACTCCACTGGACTCCAAAGGAATGAGAAGACAACCATTGACAATCGCCTCCACCTGGTGATCTGCCATAAAGGCACAGTACTGTCCTTCTGAGAAGGTGATCCTAGACATAGAAAATGGTTGTTGGTTTTTTCCAGAAGACAGTATAAATCCCAAGACTTAGCAAGTATCTACAGATAGTTCTCAAGTTACACATCATTCTAGACACCGTATCATGAGTGTAATTATCAGATCACAAAGAACCAAGCACCTGGAAAGGAAATCCCCGAAATCAGCAGGACAGCCACAGCTTCTCCCTAACTCCAGGATGAGCACATGGGCTCCTAGAACACCAAAAAGCCAATGCAAAAACGAGATTGTCAGAAACGCACCCCTGAGCCTCTCCTGTTTAAGACAACCTCTGGGAGTTTGTGACAAGAAGAAATTCTTACAATATAAGCTAGGGGTTAAACAATCAGAACTGAAAACTATGTACAGAGAATGGGGTTTATTTAAAATATGACCAATTGGGCCAGTGGTGATGTTCATAATAGTATGTCTACCATGTCCAAGGCCTTAGATTCCATAGATAGAACATGATAGGCTGTCTAGCACGTCATGGTTTTAGATTCCATAGATAGATAGACAGACAGACAGACAGACACATGCATACATACATACATACATACATACATACATACATACTACCAATAGCTACACTTCAATAAATATGAAGACATGTACATATGTGTGTGCACAAACAGCAATATTCTCCAATGTCATTTTTTTGTATTCTTTGTTTCTTCTGTTTAATTGAATTGAAATTTAGGGTGAATATACATTAATATATTCAAATCAGAAATGTGCTTCCAAACACCAAAAACTTTTACATTAACTTTGTCTATTTTTTTGAGACACAATCTCACCATATAGGTCAATATGACCTCCAAATCATGATCCTCCTGCATCAGATTCCTTAAGGTTGGGCCCATCATAGCTGACCTCAATTTTCATTTACAAAAAGTAGGCTGTGTAACCCCAAGTTGCTTCTCAGTCCACACTTGTTGATAATGTTTTTGTTTGTTTGTTTATTGTTTTGGTTTTTCATGACAGGTTTTCTCTGTGTAGCCCTGGCTGTCCTGGAACTCAGAGACCTGCCGACCTCTGCCTACCGGGTCCTGGGATTAAAGTGCCCCACCCTGATACTGTTTTCGCCAGCCACTTCTGTACAAAGTCAGCACAAACTTTTGATCTTAGGTTTGATCTCAGGTTAACAACTAAAGAAAAGTAACTCCACGACAGACCACAGCTGCTTGCTTCCAATGTCTGCCATGAGTCACGGTCAACACAGTTGCCACCTAAGACACAGGCAGACCTCGTGAGCCATTACATTTATGTTTCAAACTCCAGCTCGCTGTCTCATAGTAAAATCCACCACAGCAAATCCAAATGCAACTCCTACATCACTATTACTCCATCCCACACAAGAAACTCACGCTCCTCATCGGGATATGCAGATAAAAGGCATGCTGGAAAGCTATTAACCCAGTCAGTCCCTTCCCCCTCCCTCCATAGCCTTTCTAAATGCTGGAAATGCTCAATCTTCTCTTCCGAAGCTCGTGTTTAAATAGACCTAAAAACCAAAGCATTAACAATTTTTAAAATTTTAATAAGGAATTTAGCAATCTATCTGAATTTTATCTTATTTTTCCCCAATTCAGTTGGCTAACAATTGAATCTGGAATTCACAAATATGATTTACAAGTAGTTAATTTTTTAGAAACCCACTAAAAGACACATAGAAGAACTGTGAAGCTGATAGGGCAAACCCTGAAATTCTGTGCCTGGAAAGCAGAGGGAAAACATGAGAACGGTTCTCTATTTGTGGGAAGAAGTCGTGGAAAGATACAGAAAAAGCAATGAATGTAGATCTGGCAAAGGGCTGGATGGACGAGGCAGAGATACTTCCCTCCAAATGCCCTTTCAAGTATATTTGTTGGACACTGTAATGTGCTGCTTACTCTATAAACTCAATGAAAATTCATGCTATGTCTATCCGAGCTGCACACTGATCTCCAGAAACCTCAGCGCTCATGTCAAGTAGAGGTAATGAATGCAGCCCGTTGCTCCAGAGTCAACCAGCTGATTAATTAGTACAACGGATATCCTGAGAAACACAGGCTGGTTTCCTCATCAGTATATAGTCCAGCAGCCAGATGGTCAGCTGGGAGCATCCTCGGGAAAACTTCCACCTCAACCATGACTCGTGTGATCAGGCATAATCCTATTACAAATACCAGAGCCTACTTAATTCAATTCTTCCCATTCTCAGTCTGCACCCTCAGTCAGATGCCTAACATGGCCAGAGAGGAGTCCTAAATTCATCACAGCACAAGCCTCTGTAGGCTGATAACACACTGACTTTTCAATGAAAATGGGAAGGTATAATAAAAGATTTCCCTGTGGGAAAACGGTGCTTTCTATGTCTGCGAAAGCAATCCAGAGTAAATGACAAAATCACCACCACTCCTGGGGGTAGGGGTGGGGGTGTCTCATACCAGAGAGGTTCTATTTGTCTTCTGGTGGGTTTGTCTTGTTCTTGAAAAGGTCTCTAACAGTGCAGGATATCCTTGAAGCCCTGGTCCTCCGGCTCTATCTCCCAGATTCCAGGGTTACAGGTATGTGCCAAGGCACCTGGCTTCTGCTTGTTTTTAAAACATAATTTTTAGAAGATACATTCCAAATGTTTCAAGTCACAACTTTGTATTTGAGGGAGTACCACTATCCCACAACTTACAACAGGTCTTTTGAGGCAAGTGTCCCCTAAAAATGGCCATTTCTAATTCAGAGCAGATCTTCTAGAACTAGTATAAGACTTGCACTTGCAGGGAGGAGGATCTTGAGTTTCTGGGAAGACTGTGCCACTTAGCCAGATCCCAACTCAAAAACAGAAAACAACAACAAAAGGGCTACTGTCTGATTCACTGTGGGATCCAGAAGGCACTATCCCGACAATGTACTCCATGAATGGGTACCTGCTCTACCACCTGGTCAGATTCCTAATACACAACAGCCTGGTATTTCCAAAACTTGGTTTATCACAATCACCTGGAGGCCTTGTTGGCCCAGGCTGTTCCTGGCCTCAACCCAGCCTCTGATTCAGAATCTCCAGAGGCGGGGTCTGAGAATCTGTTTTTTAACAGAGCCCGGGTGATTGCTTATGACTCAGACCCTGTGAGAAACAAGGAGATGAATGAAATGGTCCTTGTGGCTCCAAAAGGCTCCAGAAGAGCAGGGGGCTGAGCAGCAAACAAGTGCCGAGTGGAACCAGGGAATGGAGCTTGGGCAGAGGACTCAGGACCAGCCACTACCCAGGGAATGGAGCTTGGGCAGAGGACTCAGGACCAGCCACCACCCAGGCAGAAAGGGTTCCAGGGAGGGGGTTCTTCCACAGCTAGGAAGCTCAGTGGGAACTGAGACGGCTTCCCAGTTCCCACAATGAGAGGAAATGGAGGAGAAAGAGCCTGAGAAAGAAATGGGACATCCACACGAGGGTCCCAGGAGAAGGGCTGCCAGTCCCAGCCCCCAAGCTCAAGCTTGTGTAAGACAGAAAACAAGCCCTACCCCCATTCCTGTCAGGGACTGCAGATGCTTCCAGAAGCTGTGCAGGATGTTTTGATTTCCAGTCGGTAACATTTTCACATTTATTTCTCCCAGCAGTTCTCCTCTGGATTTGGTCAGCTCTCATCTTCCAAGTGACAGTAACCCAGCCTCCCGGACCAACTATCAGTGGTGACACAGGGAAATGAATGTGCACATAGGTGCCACCTCAGTTGTCCTGTCATCAAGGCAAAAGCAGCAAATGTGGAATGTCAACTGTGAACCAGGGTTCTCACTAAATGGTGCATACCGGTCTCACATATGCCCATCTGCTAGTACTTTACTGGGTCTGGGGGCCAGGTGGACAGCGAGATGATTTAGCGGGTGAAAGTACTTGCTGCCCAAACATCGTGACCAGAGCTCTGGAACTGGAACTCATGGCAGAAGGAGACAACAGGCTCCTGCAGATTGAACTCGCACGTGTGTATTTGGTGTGCGCTCACACACACAAATGCATACATGCACACACACCTACATACACACATACATACATACATACATACATACATACATACATACATACATACATGTGTATTTTTTAAAAGCCCAAAAGCCTTTTTTTTTAAAGACAGAGTCTTTCTATGTGGCTCAGATTATGCTACCACACCTATTCAGACTTTGTGATTTTTTTTTTTTTACTTCAAAATATATGATGGACCTTTTCTTTTTTAAATAGGGTCTTTTGTTATCCAGGCTGGCCTTTAACCCTTTATAACGGTAGCCTTGAATTCCTCATCTTCCTACCTCTACCTCTCAAGTACTGGAATTGTATAGCCTTCCATCACTATGCCTGCAGCATGCAGAGCAAGCGTTCTACTGGTTTAGACACATTTATTTCTCCGCTTCTCTGAAGAAGGAATGTCATCATTTGCAGTTGGCTCAGGTAGTATTGAGAATGTACCACACAATGTTAGAGCAGCCTGACTCAAGATGCACCCCGCCTGAAGGGGCTGGATTTCCTGTGTCTCATATGGGTTCAGCCTCAGTCTAGGCTGCCAGCCCTTCATGTGGCTGTCCTCTTTCTTTCATGAGCCCTTTAGCCTCTGTTTCCTCCTTTTGTGGGAACATGTCACTATTTCATGAAGTCTGGGACCTCCATGCCCTTCCCTTGGGAGTTCACTGAAAGACAAGTTCCAACTCACCATCCACATTTTTCCAAAACACTGCCACGGTGAACACTGTAAGAAACATGGACCACCAGGAGCCAGGCATGGTAGTGCATGCCTGAAATCCCAGCCTGTGGGAATCAAGGCAGGAGGATCAAGAATTCTAGGCCAGTCTAAACTACTTGAGATCCTGTCACAAAGGAAATGTGGTGGGGAAAGAGTGAGGGGATGGAGAGAGAGAGAGAGAGAGAGAGAGAGAGAGAGAGAGAGAGAGAGAGAGAGAGAGAGAGAACACAAATGAAAGCAGTACACAGAAATTGGCACGCCATCAGCACACTTTTGTTAATTTTGAATTTCAATTTCTGCAGAATTCATTTGTGCCAGGGTGTAAACCACCTTGAGCAAAAACAAAATTAAATAAGCAAGTTCCTAGGCCTCTGTGTTAGTTGCAAGACATCTTATATTTTACCTAAAATTTGACTTTTTGGTGGGAGGGGGAGGATAATGAAGTAGCCAAGTTGGCAGAGGATTAGTCTGGCATGCACCAAGCCTTGGGTTCAATCCCAATGTCAAATAAAACTATGTATAATGGCACGGGCTGTAATTCCAGCACTTGGGAAGTGGAAGCATGAAAATCAAGAAGCTCAAGGTCATCTGCCACCTACAGAGCTTGATGCCAGCCTCGGATATATGAAAAAGTTTCTGAAACAAGGTCTCATTCTGGAACAAGGCTGGCTGGCTCTAAATATGCAGGGATTCCCTTGACTCAGCCTCTGATGTGCTAAGACTGTCAGTATGCCACCTCACCCAGTAAATAATTTTAAAGGCCTTTAAAGACTGTAAAAAATGACTGTTCTTCCAAAGGACTGAAGGTTCATTCCCAACACCTGTGTCAGGTGGCTCACAATCACTCATAATTCCAGTTCCAGGGCATCCAAGACTTCTGGACTCTGCAGGTACCCACATATATGTGACAGACACACACAATACATATGAATGAATTAAATTAAAAACCATTTTCTTTAAAAAAAAGATGTTTAAATAAAGCAAAAGGAATATAGTGCCTTAGTTTTCTGCTTTAAAATCTTCTTCCAAAATATTAAGAAACTCAAATATTTCCTTTATTATTACATTTTTCCCCAAGAGCTGGAGAGATGGCTCAGTTCCTAGCTTTCACATAAGGTGGTTCACAGCTCTCTATAACTTCAACTTGAGTATCTGATGCCTCTGGTTTCCATGGGTGCTTCACTCATGTGCATGCATACACACACACACACACACACACACACACACACACACACACACACACACTTACTTCAAAATTATAAATAAAGCCAGGCCATGGTGGCATATGTCTTTAATCCCAGAAATTGGGAGGCAGAGGCAGATAGAGCTCCATAAGTTTTGAGGCCAGCTTGGTCTACAGAGTGAGTTCTAGGACAGCCAAGGCTACACAGAGAAACACTGTCTCAAAAATTAAAAAGTTTTAAATTAATGTTTAAAATTTCTTCATTTATTACTTCCCATCTTAAAACAATACATACAGATGAAATTAATTAACATGAGATTTTTCTCTACATCATCACACTATGTCAACATAGGAGGCTTTGTGTTCCATGAATCAATGAGTAGACTTTAATCTTGCAACAAAGGATACACCCTCCTAATTCAAAACTTAACTCCCTTTTTACTAATCTGGGCATATAGCAAATGCATTTAAACACAGGGCTCTTTCCATAATGACCCTGGCACTTTTCAAATCTGGGGAAGAAAGCCTGAGTATGCTATGGGCAGAACTCTAAGGAACTTGAAACAAGTACCTGCCTAATGTTTAGAAAATGACTAACTCCTGGGCATGTGAATATCCACACATCCTCATGCCAACTAGCGAATAAAATACATCCTGAGATGGGGAATGAAACTCAGAAGGCCCTTCTTCCTCACACTGCAAATAAAAACAAATAAAAGAAATACTGATAGAAATAGTCTTTCTAATCATGAATACTTAATATTTTAGCTTAAGAATCTAAAAAGAGGGGCTGAAGAGATGGCTCAGTGGTTAAGAGCACTAACTGCTCTTCCAGAGGTCCTGAGTTCAATTCCCGGCAACCACATGGTGGCTCACAACCATCCATTATGAAAGCTGGTGCCCTCTGCTGGTGTGCAGATATACATGGAAGCAGAATGTTGTATACATAATAAATAAAATCTTAAAAAAAAAAAGAATCTAAAAAGAGGGGCTGGAGAGATGGCTCAGTGGTTAAAAGCAATGACTGCTCTTCCAGAGGACCCGGGTTCAATTCCTAGCATCCACATGGCAGCTCACAACTGTCTGTAATTCCAGTTCCAGAGGACTGGACACCCATGGAAGAACACTAATGCACATAAAATAAAGATAAATAAACTTAAGAAAAAAAAAGAATCCTTCCTCCTTTTCTTCCTCCTCTTCTACTGAGACAGGGTCTTATATAGCCCAGGCTAGCCTTGAACTCCCTTATCTTCCAGCCTCTTCATCACTGCCATCATCAGGTGTGTACTATTAGACTAGGCAGGCAATTCTTATTATTTATTTTTGAGAGTCTCTCTATGTAGGCCTGGCTGTCCTGAAACTCACTATGTAGGCCAGGCAGGCCTTGAACTCACAGAAATCTGCCAGCCTTTGCCTCCCAAATGTTGGAATTAAAGGCATGTGCCACCACACCAAGCATAAGCAGCAGTTCTTAAGGGTGGACATGTAGGAAAAAAATTTCTTGATCTTACACAGGCTGTTTAACCTAATGGCACAATCTGCCCACTCGGCTGCTGTTGGTTTCTGTTAATAAATTTAAAAACTCTCTCCTCAGATAAAGGTGGGTGGAGACTATATTTCCACCACCACATCTCTAGTGTGTGGTATGCTGCAATGAAAGTAAGACTTGTGCCAAGTTTACCAGATAGACATTTAAGGGTGAGGCAGCACCTTGAAGTTCTTAGAAGTTCAGTAAAGTCAACATCTCCATTGTGTCTTGTCTCCAATGTCTTTAGTACATAGCCACACACACTGCAGAGATTCATTCTGAGGAAGAAGGAAAGACAGTCACGCTTACATCAACCAGCTGCTGGTTAGGTCAGAGGATGACGGTCATTCGAGAATGGGATGATGCAACTACCACCTAGAACACTGTGCTCAAGCACTAGTCCACACTGTCTACCAATTCTTAGACCTGTTTACGCAAAGACGATACCTAAACAATCTTTCTGCCAACAAGCTATGCATGCTAAATGGGCTGCACCCCCACCTAGCCATCCATCTTCAACACCATTCATCTTAAATCTAAAAATTAGAGGAGAGAGCCTACCAGGCCTGCTGTGTATGAGCGCACAGGCGAGGTACACACCACAGTGTAAAGGATGTCCTAGGGCTTAATTAGGTAGTACAGCAAACCCTTCTCAGTGTTTCTGGAATCTAAAGGTGGCGGGAAGAACTGTCATTCTAGAACTATTACTTTAAAATGCTAACAAATTGCCTTTTTCTACCCTCTTTAAACAGGACTTCATATTTACACAAGAAGTTGTTTTTGTTGTTGATACAGGGTTTCAGGTAGCCCAGGCTGGCCTCAAACTCACTATGTAGCCTAGACTGCACTTCGATTTCTGATTTTCCTTCTTCTCTCTTCCAAGGGCTGGATTTCAGACTGAATACCACTACATTAAGTGTTGGGGACTAAACCCAGGACTTCATGCTTGCTGGGCAAGCAAGCCACCACTGAGCTACATTCCCTGACCCAATAAGGACTTTTAAGACAAACTGAAAAGAGCTCAGAGCAGAAATCATGAGATTCCTCACTTTGTCCTGTTTATTAACACCCTTTACTAGCCCCTAGGACTTGCATTTCCTCATCCATAAAATGGACTTGAAAATACAGCCTTGTCTTTCTATTTCATGTAGTTTTGGAATCACATAAGAAATCTGAATGACGGGTTTTTAATACACCTTAGACTTCACAGGAGTGTGATGGTTAGTTATGGGAAGCAGCAAATGGTGAACCTGGGAAACACTGTGATTCTTAAAGGAAGCTGGACAAAGACCACAGATAGCATGAGGA